GAAGGGAAAATAAATCCATAAATTCATCTCTTATGCCATGACTTATACCTTTCAATTTAATCCATAAGTCCTTCATCTAATTCTTTCTTACTTGATGACCTTAACACAAAACTCATGCCTTGAGGAATCCTTGAAGACGCGTCTGGAATATGGAAAAGAGATATGACCAATGTAATCTTGGCATGACAACCCTAGTCCTCTTGATTTTCAAATGATAAGCATTTATCAAGCTCAAACACAAAGGACAAGAAACCCTAATCCATTTGCTTGCAACACACATTGAGTAAAGAAGGTATCTTGACATGTTAAACCAACCCTAACCCATAACATTCTCAGTTGAACCTTTGATGAAACCCTAAGAAACCCTAGCACTTAAAGGAACCTTGATGAAGATAAAAACCTTGTATCTTGATAAAGATCCAATTTTTACGAAAGAAGCATTGAAGGATTGATACAAATCCAAAATATATTTATAATGGGAGAAAACTGGACTTGCAAAGGTTGAAAGGAATACATGATTCCTAATATATATTTTTGTTGGGTGAAAATAATATATGGGAGCATATCTTATGATAATGCATATCTTATATGACAATAAAAGGAATAATTATTAACCCTTGGATTAAAATGAACGGTCCAAATTAATTTTTTTAATTTTAATAACATTGAATCTATTTATACCAAATAATTTCTCATTAATGTATTCAACTTTTCATTTTCTTCCTATCAACACTATCATAACCTTTTTTTTATATTTTGATTTAACCCAAATTTCATTCATTTTCTTTTATTAAATTAAATGGTTTTCACTCAGAGTCTAAAATCCAATATCTTCAACATCATCATTTCACAGCGCCATCATCATCCATCTTTCACACTTAAATATGAAGTTGTGATGGAATTCTATTAATTAAAGGTCCAATTAAATGAAAAAAATTGTTTCTTCTAAGTTTGATTGATAGGCAGTGTTGATTTAATATGTTGATAAAGGTCCATTTTTTATGAAAGAAGCATTTAAGGATTGATACAGATCCAAAATATATTTTATAATGGAAGAAAACTGGACTTGCAAAGGTTGAAAAGGAATACCAGATTCCTAATATATATTTTTGTTGGGTGAAAATAATATAATATAATTGAACAAATATGCAGAGAAATGAATGGAATAAAGACTACAATGGTGTTTATAGGAAGTAGATGAAAAGTTGAATACATTAATGATAAATTATTTGGTATAAATAGATTCAATATTATTAAAATTAAAGTTTTTAATCTGGACCGTTTATTTTAATCCAAGGGTTAATAATTATTCATTTTATTCTCATATAAGATATGTATATCACTTGTTTAAAATACATCAATGTTAAACCATTACATATTTAATATAAGTGTTCGTTTATTCTATAGTTTAAGTAAATATTTTGAAAACTTTTTAATGTTCTTAAAATTTTAAAATAATATGATATTTTATACTCGATGTATTTATTTTTATTAAAAACACGGATAACGAATACAAATATAGCACAAGGACAAGTGCTAATGTTGGTACCCAAGTAGATATGGGCTTGAATATGTAATTTTTTTTCTAACCGCAAATATAGGATTAGGTATTGTAATACCCTACCCAAACTCTACCATCCCTATATGTAACTCATACATATTTCATTCCAATGATAAAAGTTATATTAATGGTGACATAATATCTTAATTGTAAATTATTAATGTTAATATTATCCTTTATTCAAATTACTTTTACTAATTTTATAATATTTATTTTGACACGTCAAATTCTTTCAATAAAAAAATAAGAAGCAAATTCATTTTTTAATAAAACTCATTTAGATATTGTCATTAAAGATGTAATTATAAGTCAAGCAGAAAGTATGACAAGTCTGTTAAAAATGTAAGCTCTTCTCTGGGATCCAAACCATTTAAGATGCAAGATAATTTAAAATTTAATATATTACAATTCACAGACAACACTTTAATTCTGGACCAAGCTAGCAGCGATAACATTTGGGCAATTAAATCAGTGTTACGTGTATTTAAGTTAGCATATGGTCTTCAGTTAATTTCTAAAAGAGCAAAAATTTGGGGTTCAATTCTAGTTCTGATTTTTTGGTGGTTGCCTCTAACTTTCTACAATGCTCAATCAAATTCCCTTTTACTTTTTTTGGCCTACCCATATGGATTAACCCCCACAAACAGAGTTCTTGGAATCTAATATTATTGAATATCTGCAATAAATTTGCAACTTGGAAAGGAAAATCATAATCTTTTGTGAGAAAAAGTAACACATCTAAATTTTGTTTTAAACACCATCCCACTCTTCTACCTATCATTCTACAAAGCGCCAAAAGTCATAATCCAAGACATCATTAAGATCCAACACTCTTTTCTGTGGAATGGGGAAGAACATAAGAAGAGAGTTAAATGGGTTTCATGGGAAACCATTTGCAAACCAAAGCAGGAGGGTGGTTTGGGAGTAAAAGATTATGAAGCCTTTAATAAGGCTCTTTTAAGTAAGTGGGTATGTAAAATCGTCTCTAATTAGGTTTCTGAGTCGTTATGGCATTCTTTTCCTCTGTCCAAATATGGGGACAACAAGGATTTGATTAGATACTTAGTGGTTGGTTAACATGCACAAATGGTTTATTTTATGTGGGGGGTTTGCGATAAAGACTCCGATTAATTTGGAAATAGCGTGTCATGTAAGTTAGGAGATGGATCTAACATTGATTTTTGGAGGAACAAATGGCTAGGCAAGGAACCATTGTTGCTGAAACTCCATTGCCTTTTTTACTGTTTGCAGTGTAATTCTGGTTTTTAGAGTGTTGGTATTTGGAGTTAGAACATTCACTTAGTCTCGACAACATTATTCGTTGCACCCGCTTTGAAGTGGGAGAATCTTTAATGCATCTCATCCATTATCAAGCCTTCTTCTTCTAAATCTGATGCATTTGTTTGGTGACACAATTCAGACAACTTTAGTGTCAAATCAGCCTTCTCTCGATTGCACGCTCTCTCATACAACTGCCCCTATTACTTCAGATATTTCCTCCTCCCTTAGAAAATTGTGGAAGTCATATGTTCCCTCAAATATACAAGTGTTCACTTGGAGGTTTTTTCTCAACCGTCTACAAACAAAAGATGAATTTGCGAAATATGGAACCATCTCCGGGCCTCATAACACGGTATGTCCCCCGTGCTTTGGTAAAAATGAATCTCATCTCCACCTGTTTCTATTGTGTCTAAAGACTATGTTAGTTTGGTGCAAGATTTTGGATTGGATTGATCTTGGTTACTTACCTTCATGTAGTAACATCCTTCCACGTGAAGCAGTTTGATAGAAAGTTGGAGAGCAATATCAAGAAAGACTTTAGACTGCTTATTTGATTTGCAATTGTTAGGGCCATTTGGTTATCAAGAAATGATATTCTGTTTAATGAAGGGAAAAAGATGTTAATGACTTAGTTTTTTTGGCCAAACCGTTGTCATGGGAATGAGCATTTGCTAGATTTAAGGGAGACTTTGTTTGCGAAAAAAAAGATTGGTTTGTTAATCCGCTTGTTGATTGTATCTGTTAATTTTGTTTGAGGTGTTTGATAATTTTTATCCTTTTGTATTAGGATTGAGTATCCCTTATACCCCCATTAATACATTATTTGCTTAAAAAATCCACAGTTTTTCATTATTAGAAATATTTATAAATTACAATGTATACAAATCTTTCATTCATTATTTTATTTTAATTTAATTTTCCACGAGTTTCATACACTAGTTTAAATTGTGTAATAAAATATTAAAGATCACAAATGTAAAAATTCTTTCTCTCGCTTCCCGCGCATTGTGAGGGTCAACATTTAATTAATAATGTACAACATCAAAAAGATATCACAAATATAAAAAATCTCTCTCTCTCTTGCTTCCCGCGTAACGCGCGAATCACCAAGTTAATAACGTTCAACACCATATTACAAATATTAAAAACCGTTATCTCGCTTCGCGCGCTTTCTCTTCAACACGCAAATTATCAAATTACTAATACACAACACCGAAAGAAACCATAAATATAAAAACCTTCTCACTCACTTCCCGCGCACTACACGAGTCAAAAGTTAATAATGTATAACATTAATATAAAAAACTTCTTAATCGCTTCCCATACATATGATCAAGTTAATACTAGTAAAATACAACACCAACAAACTTACAAATATAACTAAATTAAATGAAACTATCCTAGTTTCTCTACCACCACCAAATTTGTAACCATTGACATTCAAAATAACATTTTCTTTGTATCAACTTATAAAACTCATTTTTCACTTTATAATCCATTAAATAAAATTACACATAACCTCTATTAAAATCTATTTATTTCTCTTGTTACCTTGAGTTGTCTATAACCTTAAAATTTGTAGGGTTTTCTCTTATATAAGTGTAATAATAAAACAATACTCGACCACCCGGTTCCTTTTCATTCATTTCATCCATCCCTCCATATAAAAGCCACGACCGAAACATCTAGAGAGAGAGAGCGAGAGATTGAGGGAACATCACTTCACAAACACAACAAAACAGTTCCTCATCCTCTCATTCCAACACTCGCGCACACTCCAGACACTCCGTGAACCACAACCACCACCAGGTTTCTCTCTCTCTTTCTCTTTCAATTTCAAACAAAACATCCTAGTATCATCTCTTACAATTATGCCACACAAACCGTTGTTATGTTTTTTTTCTTTCTGCTTCTTATCTTAATTAACTACTGTTGTTTATCTGTGCTCGTCGTCAAATTACGATGTTCTATTTCATCGTTCTTTTCAATTTCACTGTCTTGTAATAATTCATTACTCAGTATTATTTATTACTAGGTTCATTTTTTAGCTTGTGCTATACAAGTGCTTTTTTTTTTTGGTGGCTTTATCTTATTGTTTTTGTTTTCTTAATATTTTTGCAGGCAGTGGATTTTCTTCAAGAATTTTGATATTTATTAGATGGCTGTTACACCGTTTGGTAATACTTCAGCTGCTCAATGGGGAATTCGTCCCCAGCTTATCGCCAGATCCACCACCATGGCCAGGTTTGCATCGGCAAGCCAGAAGTGAGTCCTATGTTTAATTCTTAATTTTCATGTTCTTGTGTATTGGAAACATCTAGGGTTACTTTTAAGGTTGTTTTTTTAATATATTTATCATGTTGTCACTTGATATAGCCATGAAACTGTGTATGAAAATGTGATTTTTTTAGCCTAATTGTCGGATATGATATGTCTAATGTCTGGTTATAGACTTATATTCTCAGAAACTAAGGGTTTATTGTCTGTTTGGTTAAACCCTAAGCTTCTATTGGAGTTAGATGAACGTGGTTGATTAATTTGAATTGCGCTCCTGAATGTTTGCAATGGGAAATAAATCAATTCTGTCTTGAGTTGAAGTTGTGTTTGGATTGACGGTGAGTACGTGGAATCATGGTGTGCCATGCAAAAACTACATTTTAGAACCTTAACAAAATCATGGTGTCACTGTGATTTCATTAAACTCGCCACTTGCCAAGTGAAGTGAATGTTTTTAGCTTTTCCGAAGAGTAGAAATGGTTTTTGGCGGGCGACTTGCACAATTATCACATTTGCACTTCAAAAGTGATTATACTTTATTATCCAAGCAAAATCAACTCTTCTAAACTTCCTTTTATTCACTTGGTTCTATTGCTCATCTTTGCTTCTAGGACATGATATGATGTCTTCAATTCAAGATGATTCGATTCGTCAATGGCCATGTTTTTTCTCTTCAGGTCCTTAGGATATCATTTTGAAACGACTCAATTATTTCAATCATTATTTTGCACAATTTGGTACACTTTAGCACGCAAATGACTCGTATCATTTGCTGAATAAAAAATCTAACCATACAATTTTTATCACTGATTTGAATTGCATGATTAAACAACTTGTGTTTTCAGTTTGCTTTTTTGTCACCAATTCTCATGTAAGAATTTGAAGAATCAAACAGCTTACATTGTTCAACTAAAAAAAAAAACTTAAGGCTATGTTTGAATTGATGAAATGAGATGGAATGAAAAGGAATAAACTTATGTTCTATTTTTTGGATTAGTTAAAAAAAGGATGGACTGAAGCGGAAATGTGATGGAATGCATTCCGTTCCATTCCATCACTTTTCTTCCTTTTTTGTACCCTATTATTTGGGCGGAATGATAAAATTATTCTATTCCATCATGAAATACCCGAAAAATGGAATGACATTTTTATTCTGCTCGTTCCACTCCATTCCACTCTGCTTCATTCCGCTCCGTTCATTTTATAATATCCATAGTCTTAAAGAGCTCTACGAAGTGCACTCTATTTAATATTCCATACGCATTTTCTGTCATTCTTCTAAAATAGGGGCCTTACAAGATCACTCTATCAATTACTTGCTTACACAAGGACTTCACACTATTATTGTGCTCTTGTTGGCTATACCTTTGCTTCGTTTTTGTTTTGGCTTATGACAATCATACGGTTTTGTGACATTATGATTTAATTGTGCTGTGGGTTCCTCATATGAAATCATTGTATTAAATAGTGTAATAATCATTTATATGATATATTTGAAGTTATTTTTCATTGAAATTTTGAATCTTTCAAAGTGTTATCAAATATCCGCCATGGCGGCGGTATGGTGGATATACATGGCGGTTTTTGGACTCGCCACAATGGTGAATATTGGCCGATGTTTCGGGTTTTTCCGCCATAATCTGCTTTAACAGCGCGGGATTTTGGCTGTCCTCTATGGACCTATTCGCCATCAACAACACTGCTTACAAATACGATTTGCGACGCATTCTTCAGATATTAGATTTGTGATTTGCTATTTTTTAACTTTAACCTCAATTATCAATAAATCAATTTTACACAGCGTTTCAACATAATTCAATCGTTTTCCTTGCAGTGCTTCAAGCAGGGTAAACTTTATGGCTGCCCCAAGTTCAACCTTTTTTGCTCGGGATTCCTTGCGTTTTGACATTGGCTCATATCAAACTTTGCATCGTCAAAGGGGATCAAGGTTCATAGTTAGAGCAGAGACAGTAAGTTTTTATTACTCATGCTTTTCTAAGTAACAGTGATTTCCTTTCTGGTTTTTGGGCACAAGAGTTCCTTACGATAGTATTTCTCTTCTAAGTTGTATTATTCTCGTGAACATTCAGTATATTGACTGAATATCTAATATGTTCCCGCGTGCAGGATTACTACACTGTCCTTGGGGTGTCAAGAAATTCTACCAAATCTGAAATTAAGACTGGTATTTTTCTGCAGTCCTTTCTTATCTGTCTAATATGATTATGCCTCCATTATTATTTGTTGATGCGTTCAAATTCATAGTTTTTATTTAATCATTTGTTGTTGGATAATTGAATAAGAGTCATCAATCCCGGCGGATAGCGGCGCTATGCTATCCCGGGAGAGTGGACCAGTGCGTAGGCCGGCCGCTATGAAATCGCAGACTGCGGGGCGTTTTTCATTTGTGGCCGCTTTTTGACCAATCGCAGGTCGCGAAGCGGAACGGCTTCCCGGCCCAATCCACTTTCTGTTTTTTTTTACGAAATCTCCAAAATACCCTTATTTTTTGGTCATTTGCCCTAAATTCCATTTCTTCCTCTTTCACGTTCGACTCTGTACTTCACCTCTCTCGTGTTCGCCTCTGTACTTCTCTCTCGTCTTTGATTCCATTCAAAGGGCAAGCCATCGCCGCCATCTTCGTACCTTTTCTTCTTCTTCCTCTATTCTTCTTTTATTCTTCTTCCAGTATTCTTCTTTTCTTCTTCCTGTATAAATCATCTAAATCTTTTATATAAATCAATATATTCCTCTGTTTTATTGTCAGCATCTATTTCTATAAATTAATGCAAGGTTGTTTGTTTGAAGAAGAAGAATAGTTTGATTATCTCCTTTAATGTAAATATTGCTGCTTCTTTAACCTTTGATCAATTGAAATACTAATATTGAAAAAGATTTAGATGAAATGTCGGGAAGCATGCAAGGTAAGCGAATCAAATCAAACTGTTAATACTAATGAAGAGGTCTGTCTCTTGATTATGCTTGTTGCTAACAATCAAATCAAATCTAGCTTTCCTAACCAAGTATTGAAAATTTCAAAATTAGTTGTCTTTGATTGCTCTTGGTGTTGTGAGGCTTCTGTATTGTATACCATAAACAACCTAAACTAGAATTGTGGCATCTGAGCCTCTAGGAGAATTTCTGCCCAAGTCCGCAGTAGGTCAAAACTAAATATTCATTCCATTTTTTTTGGTAATAACTGGAGGAAAGGGTTGGAAAAGAAGTTTAAAGTTAGTATGAGAAGTGGTTAGGGTTAATGAAAGGTCGTTATGATCAAAAGTTTATTATTATAGCCGGATACTATGTGTGATTTACTTGGTTATGCGTTTTTTTTTCCATCATATCATTGCATTATTAAATCTTTCTTCTGTGAATGTTTCAGCTTATCGAAAGCTAGCCCGGAATTATCACCCAGATGTGAACAAGTGAGTTTTTTTTCTTCTCTCTTTCTCTCACGTCGGAGTTATTTGATTCCTAATATCCTTCATCTACCCTATTGCTTTTGGGTGTCTTAGATTAGACGATAACACTTTTAACTTATCATTCTTAAAAGTAATGTTTTCGAACTCTTTCTGAACTGCTTATTAGATACAATCTTCCAGTCATAGTCATACTTGCATAATTTTCCCTCATAGCGATAGTCATTTTATTTATGTTTCATATCATTAAATTATTTTGTTCGGTCACTTTTTACTGCAGGGAACCTGGTGCAGAAGACAAATTTAAGGAAATTAGTAATGCTTATGAGGTAACTAGAGGTTATTCAACACGGATAACCCTAATGTGTGTCCAGTGGTAATTGATCTTACGGGATTATAAATTTTTTTGCAGGTCTTATCAGATGATGAGAAACGATCCATATATGACAAATATGGAGAGGCAGGGCTCAAGGGTTCAGGAATGGGCGGCATGGGGGTAAGTTACCAATGAAAGATCATGGAGAATTTTAATTTGTCATACGATACTATTGTTTCTCATTCGTTGATAATCTTTGTGATGATAGGATTTCAGCAATCCTTTTGATCTGTTTGAGACGCTATTTGAGGGCATGGGTAGTGGCAGCAGCAGAGGTTCTTGGAATGGAGCAGTGGATGGCGAAGATGAGTATTACAGTCTTATTTTGAATTTTAAAGAAGCTATTTTCGGAGTGGAAAAGGAGATAGAGATAAGGCGACTTGAGAATTGTGGAACTTGCGATGGTTCAGGTGCTAAACCAGGTACTAAATCATCCAGATGTAACACTTGTGGTGGTCAGGGTCGTGTTGTCACACAGACAAGGACTCCGTTAGGTATTTTTCAGCAGTCTATGACTTGCTCATCTTGCAACGGGACTGGAGAAACTCGAACACCTTGCGGTACATGTTCTGGGGATGGTCGGGTGAGGAAAACAAAGCGGATAAGTCTCAAGGTTCCGGCTGGTGTGGATTCTGGTAGCCGTTTAAGGGTCCGAAACGAAGGTAACACTGGAAGGCGCGGAGGTTCTCCCGGTGATCTCTTTGTTGTTCTTGAAGTTACCCCAGATCCCGTGCTTAAACGAGAAGACACCAACATTTTATACTCTTGTAAAGTGTCCTACATTGATGCAATCTTGGGGACTACACTTAAGGTTCCAACTGTAGATGGCATGGTGGATTTAAAAATCCCCACCGGGACACAACCGGGATCAACACTTGTTATGGCCAAGAAAGGTGTTCCACTGCTGAACAAAAAGAACATGAGGGGTGATCAATTGGTTCGAGTGCAAGTTGAGATTCCGAAGAAACTGAGCAGCGATGAGAGAAAACTTATTGAAGAACTCTCGGAGTTGAGCAAAGGCAAGACCACAGCTGCTAGGAGATGATATTTTGTTGGAAGGTGGAACTTGTATGTGCCATAAATTTTATTTTCCTTTTATGAATGCTTCATTCTTGACCTTGGTATATGTAGGTTATAAGTCCTTATAGACATAGGCAGATTACATGTTTTCTACATCTGTTGCTTGTTTTATTGGATTTGATACTTTCATTATTTCGTTGGATGTTGCTCTTTGACAGCACCGGATTTTATGCACTAGTCAGTGTTATTTATAAAGCCAGAAAAATAAAAAAAAACTTATTTTGAACATTGATGTTATGTTATGGCACTAGCAGTGTTGTTTTGTTTACGGTCTCTTGAGACAAAAGAGCATGCAAAGGTGACTATTATTTGTTTTGCTTGAGAAGAAAAATGAGTTCTTTAGATGACGAGAGTTGAATTAGAGAAACAAAAAGAAGTTCATAAAAAGGTTAGGCAATTGCTAATCCTACCTAAGTGGTGGAAAAATACCGTATGAAAATTCGAAAATGTTTCTGATTTTGAAAATGTATCTCTGGATATATCATGCGTTTTACAAATCATGTCTGTGAGTGCACTTTCTTATTAAAGATGTTTTGTATGATGTTAAAACTAGGACATTTTAATATTTATGTATATTGGACGGTATCTTCGTAGTCTAAATGTGCATCTTAGTATTAGGAAACTTAAGAATGGTTTAGAAAATGTTTCATGCATTACAAACAAAAACAAGTTTTTATGTGAAAAACAAGTCAATACATCGAGACATACATGCTATGAATCGACACATGTGAATTATTTTTAAAGCCCGTGACTTTTGTTTGTAGGTGTCGACACATAATGTCCTTTAAGTTGACACATAGAAGAAAATTTCTTCTCTGAGTCAACACATAGAAGAAAAATTATCTATGAGTTAACACATGAATTTTGATTCGACACATGTAATTCATTTTCAAAGCCTGTAGTCTTTGTAACATTTGTGTCGACACACTGACTTATACAGGTTGATTCATGCTTCGAACGTGTCGACACATGACTTGTACGAGTCGACACATGCATAAAAAATCTTGAAAATTTAATTTTTTCTAATCCTCTTGTTTTTTTTACCTCCAATTCACACTCTCGCACACGCACACACGCACACGCATGCACAAACACGCACACACGCATGCACAAACGCATGCGCGCACGCACGCGCACACACACATGTACACGCATGCACACGCACACACACAGCACGCGCGCACACGCACGCACGCGCGCACACACAGAGCACGCGCAAGCACGTACACGCACGCGCGCTCACACTTACACGTACACACACACAACACGCGCAAGCACGTGCACGTATACGCACGTGCGCGCACGTACACGTACGCACACACATCCACGCACGCACGCGCACACACACACACACACACACACACTATTGCTCTTCATCTTCAACCTCTCCTTTTATGCATACACACAAATAAATTACACATACTTATAGATTCAGAGTTGATAACGTCCAATTGAGATTTGTGTACAAGTAAATTGGGTTGAGAATCTTTGGGAAATTTTGAACCATAGGGTTTGTCCACAAAGATCAAGATATTGATTTCGGAGTTTTGTACAAGATTTTGCAATTCGAATTTAGCCGAGTGAAAGCTTTGAAGAAAGAGGATTCTTGTAAAGGAGTAATGCGAGATAAATGATCGATTGAAATTTTGGGGTGACAATAGTTTATAATTTGAATTCAGTCGAGTAAAAGCTTTGAAGAACGATGTGTTTGGTCGAAGGAGTAGTGCGAGACAGAGGATCAAATTGATATTGTTGGATGACAAGATCAAGCTCAGATCAAGAAAAGAGAAATTGTTAGGATCAACATCAAACATAAGATTTGTACGGTTGAATTGCTACATTTCTTTTGTAAATAATTTTTGTAAAGTAAGATTGATTATCTCATTTCGAACGGAATTGGGGGCAGGCGTAGCCATAGAGAGAAAGATCAGTGAACTGTCTAAACAAATTCTCGTGTCTCTCTCTCTCTCTCTCTCTCTCTCTCTCTCTCTCTCTCTCTCTCTCTCTCTCTCTCTCTCTCTCTCTCTCTCTCTCTCTCTCTCCCTCTCTCTCTCTCTCTCTCTCTCTCTCTATATATATATATATATATATATATATATATATATATATATATATATATATATATATATATATATATATATATATATATATATATATATATATATATATATATATATATATATATATATATATATATATATATATATATATATATATATATATATATCAGAGTGACCCAATGGTTAGGTATGGCCCAATCCGCTTTTGCGTCCAGGATGACTCAATAACTTTGGTCCAATCAGTAGGAGGGTATAAGGTATTTTCACCTTCTGCCCCTCAGGAGGGTATGCTTGGTCGCATGACCCCAGAACCAATGAGACTAACTCTATCTGCTCTTGCAGTTTTGCCTGCACCAACAACTAGTTTTCACGCTGCCCATCATGCGCGGGCAGCCTTCCAGGATTCATGCTTTTACTCCTATATTTCTGGTAGTCACATATTTTGAGCCTGGACCCTGGATGCCCAACCTAAAATTTGTACCAATGGTCAAGCGCCCGAGACATTATATAAACCCTCACAGTTGTGAGAGTCAAGTATCTAATATAGTACTCTAAAATCCTATATTCTCTCTTGTATCCCTTTGCATTCTTACTTGCTTGAGCATCAGAGTGTCTTGCAGGTACACTCCCTCCTCATTGTTTCCAGTATTACAGACATAAATATAGGCCCATTACAGGTTTTGATCATCGGTAAGATTAGTGGAGCTATCTGTGGGAAATCTGTTCTCCCCATCTTTCTTTTCCCGAAAACTAAAGATCAAAGCAACGTTCCAAGATTCATATCATGGCTGATCAAGATGACAATCACCTTATTGGAAAAACCATCTTATCCCTTGTCCGCAAGACTGAAGATAACAGAGATATGTCTCCCCTTGAAGATATTCCCCTGAGGATAGACGAATGCACATTGTCTCCCTCCTCCGACGAAGCCGAGGATGATGACATTCAATTCTTGGAAACTAGCAAATCTAAGAAGGGACGTCAACGATTTTCCAGCCAGTTTAGGTGCCGATCAATGTTGAACCAGTTATGGCAGCCTTGCTCGCAGCTAAAAATACCAACGCCCTGATCCTCTAGTAGAATGACAGGATCAGAGCACTAGGAAAGGAGCTTCGTTCAAGATCTCCTCTGCAGGGATATCGACGACGTGGGTCTCATAACCCATCTCTAACACGGCCTAACCATTGTCCAGCATAAGAGACATCACTAATCAAGAAGCGCGACCGCACTTCTCCTCATAGAGATTGTAGGTCCCTGGTTGACAAGAAGACCAGGGGCAACAAACCATTAGAGAATCAGCGATTGCCTTCGCCCAAGCCAAAGAGTCGTCTGAGGAGCACATCTCCTCGTTGAGTAGATAGTCATTGCCGAGGAAGGAATAATCACTTTCTATTCCCGTCCCCAGAACGAGTGACGAGGATGATACCCATGGTCCATTGTCAAGGGAAATCATGGAGACTCTCCTATGTGTCGGGCTGGAAAAGCCCCAGAATTCGGGGATGTACGATGGAACTACTGATTCAGACGAGCACATCAAGAATATTGATGCCCTTCTTGATTACAGAGGCGTCAGGGGAGCCATAAAGTACTGAATTTTTCCCACCACTCTTCGAAAGGGGGCTAATGGATTAGTACAAAAGTCTTCCCGACGATTCAATCACATCTTGGAAAAACCCGGGGAGGCAGTTCTCTAGGCACCTTACGGCCTCCCGCCGACATTCGAAATCTGAAGCGTCGCTGGAGGCGATCATCCAACGGAAGGACGAGTCCCTCCAGGAATATATAGAAAGATTCAACCGAGAAACTGTTCCACGACTGACGATATGAAGAAATACCTACTTGAACGCGTGCTACGTCCCCGCAGTGACTTTTCCAAGGCAATTGGTATCGAAACACATGCTACATTGGATGTTCTCCACCACAAGGCCCAGACATATATCTAGTATGAACAAAAAGAAGCTGCCAACAACACGCGAGACTCGCAACATCAGGAGAATGCCAAAGTTTCAAAACATGAAGACTCCTCGACATCCCATCGGGGAGAAGATAAAAGGAAGGAAGACATACCCCACGAGTCACGGAAGTACAAGAGACCTGCTGTCTGGTTCCACGACTACACACCCCTGAACGCCTCAGCGAGCATATTCGACTGATTGTGAAAATTCGAAGTTTTGCCAAGCCAGGGTCCACTTTCCTCGACAGACACCGCCCAAGCCCGGGACAGATAAAACTAAATATTACTGGTTTTATAAGAGCCACAAGCATACCACCGAGGAATGCATGCATCTGAAGGATGTCATTGAGATCTTCATCAGAGATGTGCATCTCAAACAATACAATAAAAAAGAGAGCTCTCACGTGGACGTCCTTGAATCAAAGAAGGTCGAGGAAGAGAAAACCTCTTTCGAGGACGTCAACATTTCCAGTCGCCCTGTGCATTTCTCAAATAGAGGATTTCTACATCCCTAAAGATGTCGAGCACCCCCTCTACTTCTCAACGCACAGTCCCTGGGAGACCTTCTCCTCCGATATGGTCATATTTGGTGGGGGATTTAATAAAGTCACCATGGGCTCAATGAAAAGGAAGTTCGAGCAGCTGATCAACATAAGCTCCAACAAAAACTCCACTCTCGACATGTTCAGAGGAAACTCCTCCCCATCGCATTCTACCGTGAAGAACTGCGTGATGGGTCTCCTAATTCAACCATCCCGTTGCTCATAAGAGTAAAGATGGCCAACTTTGATATCCAATAGATTCTGTTCGATCGAGGAAGATCGGTCAACATTATTTACTCCCAGCTGTTCACCACCTTGCAGCTCGACGAGACACACCTGACACCTTATGTGGACTCAGACTTATAGGGTTTCAACAATGTAGTCACAAAACCATGGGGCTACGTCGAAT